GGGAAAGACACTTCCCCTTGAGCTTCTGGGAAGGCTGTCAAATAATAACGGAGGAGAGCAACACCCCAACACCTCTCAAGAGTACCATGCCTGGATAGGGAAATAAGAGTTGTACAATGAAGAAATCCAGCATCTAACCTCATCTGGTGTCTTGAGAGCGACGTTTGAGCGGAGCAGAATGTTCAAATCCACGAGGTCCCTTCCAAAACACAAAGTGAACATTAGATGGTGTGGCATGCAACGTCACTCCCTCCATTCAGCCTGCCTGGCTGGCAAGCCCACCTCTCTCAGCGGCACCATGTCCCCACAGCGTCGTGCTTAAGTGCCCCAGAGAACTTGCAGAAACCCAGAATCAGCATCAGTGGTGGAGAAATAGGCTCCAAGTGACTTTCTGGTGGGACTGACACCACGTGTGCTGCATAACATGCCTATTTCGCAAGGGGCTTGGATTCCCTTTCTGTGATTTGGGTCTTTGCCCACGCACTGGTAGCCATATCCCAGTGCAGCTGATCTGCTGATGGACTGCAGCTCATGGGTAAATACAGCCAAAAAGCGCCTCCATGCAGGGAGGTGCCACGGTGGCAGAAAGCTGGAAGAAGAGAGCCCACACCCATCCTTCCTCCACCTCCTCCCATTTTCATGGCTGCCAGCAGACGCCCCCAAAGGCCGTGCAACCATGCCTGCAGGGGCTGCACACCTCCTTTGGCAAGACACCATGGAAGCATTTGCAAAAACAAGCCAGTCTGGTGCCCGCAGGCTACGCCTGAGCCCATGGAGCAGAGATAAACACCCCGTGGTCAACTGCAGAGGAAGCCAATAGATGCCCACAGCGTAGCTGCCCTATGGCCAGCCCCAAGCGTGTCTCCTGTCCTCCTGGGGAACAAGCGTGCTGGTCTAACTCGGAGACCCCTCACTGACTGAGGAGGTACCGCTTACTGAGCGGAGACCCCTGCCACGTCCCAGCACCCAGCACCATAGTCCACCTCCTTTACTGCATCTCCTTCTGCCCTTAATTCGAGAGCGTAATACAAGCCTTCCATCTGTGCGAGGTTTCCTTTCCAAAATCTCTCTTAGCCTGACTGTTTTTCCACTTCTAAGTCAGCAAGAGACTCAAACATTTCTACGCTTTCAGCCAGTCTGAAACCAACCTAATCTGATTCTGGACAAATCCTTAAATGTGACATTCTCTCGCAGGATATAACCTAGTTTTACTGCTTCTCATACCAATCCGAATAAGCCCACTGACTATCACCCTGGTGGTGGGGTAACCGAGCTCAGAAACACCACAAAAAGCAAGGAGAACCCCAAAACACCTGAGAGCAAATACCTGGACAAAAGGGCGACTCCTGCTTTCCCCAAGAGCTGCCAGGCCACAAACTCTGCTGTCCTCCTGTCAGCCTCGTAGGTCTCTTTCTGGCTGAGGATGAACACAAGCGGTAGCCCAAGCTGTAAGTGAACGGTGGAAACCTTCTCTGGGTCCTCGGCAACCTCTGTCTGGAGAAGAGACATGGTTATACTGCAGTGCATCTCCACGCTGTTGAAGATACCTCAGCTCTTCTCCTGCACAGCCCAAGCCACCATGTGTTCCCCAGCCACAGAAATAAGGATACCCTCAAGAAAAAGCCTCCAACCCTGATTCTAAAACATCCATTGAAGCAGAACCCACACAACCCCAGTTAAACTGTTCCAACCTGTCATGACCCTCCCTGTTAAAAACCTGGGCCTTATTACGCATGTTCTTTATGACTTAGCAACTCCAGATGTCAAATCCCCGTTAATTTTTATTTACCTGGCATCCATTCCCCAGAGCAGTTTGAAAATCCCAGCTGCAACATGCAAGAGCCGGCATCCTCTCCCTTCCTGCCTCGGACGTGCTGCTTCATGACAGCACGGAGCTGCTTAACGAAGTGCCTTCCCTCCATGTGCCTAACCCAGGAGACTGGCTGAAGGAGGCACTTCCCAGCTCATCTACCCATCCTTTCGGCTGGGCAGAGATGTCACCAGTGGGAACTGGAGGCCTGCTGAAGTTCACTGCCCGCTGGGAAGAGGAGATAGGAGGGAGCCTCCTGTCCCTTGTGCTCCCCAAGGTATGAGTGACGGATATCAAACTCCCCAGGGTGCTGAGCCTCCTGTGGGGAGCCTAGAAGAGCAGCTAAGGACTTTGGGTTTGTCTAGTTTGGAGAAAAGGAGGCGGAGGGGCAACCTCATGGCTCTCTACAGCTTCCTGAGGAGGGGATGTGGAGAGGGAGGTGGTGATCCCTTCTCCCTGGTATCCAGGGGAGGTTTAGACTGGACATTAGGAAGCATTTCTTTACCGAGAGGGTGGTCAAACACTGGAACAGGCTTCCTATAGAGGTGGGGTAGGCGCCAAGCCTGCCAGGGTTTAAGAAGCACTTGGACAATGCTTTAACTTTTGGTCAGCCCTGAAGTGGTCAGGCAGTTGGGACAGATGATCCTTGTAGGTCCCTTCCAGCTGAACTATTCTGTTCTGTTCTGTTCTATTCTATTCTAGATGTCCAAGTGAAGTCCAAGGGGCACCTCCACCCCGTTCCCACTCATGGTGCTTACAGACAACTAGAGGAGCATACATTGGTGCCAGGGCTCCCTGGAAAGGTCTGAGCAAGCTGAGCAGTGCAACAGAGTGTCGCTCCTGTCCAGTCCCACGCTTCTTCCTTGCTTGGACCCAACCTGGGAGCTTTGTCATTAACTTCATGGGGAAGGGACAGATCCTCACGCTCAGCCTTGCCCTCTGCTCACACCTCCCTCATCCTCACATCCACCCCAGCTGCCCTCAAGCTGCACAGCCCAAGTGGCTCCTCTTCCCCAGTCATACCACCAGAGGAGCCCCCATGAGCTTGAGGTGCCTGTGGATGTTGAGCATCGTCAGGGTCTGCCCCATGGCTGTCCTCCTGCAGGGCTGCGCCAAGTCCGTGGCCCGCTGGCAGTGGCAGAACAACAGCCGAGCAGATGACGCATCAGACTCACCATTGCTGTGAGAGAGAAAACAAAAACCCTGCTGAGCTAGGCATCCACTGCTGGGTTTTAAAATGCCCTGACAGAATGACCATGACCGTGTTTGCTGATGTGTTTTACAGGGCAGATGATCCTCAAGTTCAGCGTTTGGCAGGCTTGTGGGACCTCTTCAAGAGCCCTACTACTGATAGGTAGAATTGTGTCCAAGCGCTTTCCAGAATTGTGCTGAACATCTAATAAAAACCCTGGCTCACTGGGTGTAAATGACCTCAATCCCAGAATATTTAGCTCAAGAAGGACACAAATTAAGCTTTTCTCAGTGGGACCAGCCATGCCACTGCAGTGGAGACCCCAGCTGGAGGAAGACAGCTGAAGTACAGCTTTCCTCATGTCTTTTACCTCACTGATGACATCTTACAGACTGTATAAGGAACATTCCGCCTTTTGAACAGCATTGGTTTTGGCTGCACCAAAGGAAGCAGTGAGATCAAGTTGCCTGGATGGTTCCCTGGTTACTGGTTCCTTCTCTGATACCATCACTGGTGTTAGCCTGTAGGTCAGCTTTGGGAGGTCACATTTCTTATGCAACCCGTTCCCCACCTCTAAAATAGGGATCACCTTCTTTGTAAAGGGTTTTAAGATCTCTCTATGGAAGAGCAGGGTGTAGCATTAAGACCTCAAAGCCTGCCACCCTGGTTGGCTGAAAGCTATTCATGGAATCATAGAATCGTTTAGGTTGGAAAAGACGTTGAAGGTCATCAAGTCCTGCCGTTAACGCAGCACTGCCAAGCCCACCACTAAACCACGGCCCTCAGCACCACGTCTGATGAGGGCTCCCCTCAGCCTCCTCTTCTCCAGGCTGAGCACCCCCAGCTCCCCCAGCCGCTCCTCCCCAGCCTTGGGCTCCAGCCCCTGCCCCAGCCTCGCTGCCCTGCTCTGGCCACGCTCCAGCCCCTCCATGGCCGCCTTGGGCTGAGGGGCCCAACGCTGAATGTTGGTGAAGCTACCACCATTTCATCAGCTAAGGAGAAGGCCTGCTGGTGTCCACTCTCCTTTAAGCAGAATGAAGCCAATTCCTGTCCAAGCGACAACCGTGCCATCTAGTGGCAGCCACAAAATGCTACCCCTGATCATGATCCTGCAAGGATGGGATGGCACCTCGGGGAAGGACCACTTTGGTGCCTGCCCTGGTGTCACCTGTGAAAGCGGGCAAGTTGTTGTATAAATGCTTTGCTGAAGATGCAACACGCTGTGTGATATTCCCACCTTTCTCCCTCTCAGTTTCCTGACTGCAGCAGGTCACATCAGCAGCAAGTCGCGTTGGAGGATCTTGCCCTTCTAATGCAGCTCCTCCTGGCGTGGGAAGGGGACAGCCTGAGCTGGCCAGCTCCAGGGAAGCCATCGGGTGGCAAAGCCCAAATGCGACACTCCAGGGAGCAGTGTCTCTGAACTGCAGAACTCACTGCTGCCAGAAGTTGTGGAGATGAAAAGTAAAAACGTGTTTAAAAAATTCTGGTGGCTGTGAACACCACGATACAGGTTCAGCTCCCATTTCGAAGAGTCCTGAAACCTCTGACTGCCAGAAGATGGGAGGCTGTGGGCAACACACATCCATTCCCTCGCACCCCTTGGTAAGCACCTATGGCCACTGCAGAGATAAGATACGGAGCTGGGTGAGCTTTGCTCTGACCCATTTTAGCAGTTCTTACCCTTCTCAGCTGGTCAGGCTTGCTCAGCAAAGCACAAGGCTGAGTGTTTTAAGACTAACATCAGCTGTATCAGCCCCCATGGCTGAGGTTTGACCAGTCAGCTATAGAAAGGAGACAGTGGGTTCTTCCACTATAAAATCCCATTCGATGAACCGTCACAAACGGCATGGCTACTTCAAGTCCAGGAACACAAGCAGCAGCTGATTTTGGAAAAGCAAAACAGATCTGACTGTCCACCCATGGCAGAACATCCTCATACCAGCCCAGATTTGACCTGGGAATCTGAGAAACCAAGAGTAGAGCAAAAAGTACAGGGGAGCAACTCGTACCTGGTGTGTGTGTGTGTTTGGACATACCCAGTGTCTTTCAACAGCATTGCCTCAGTTGTCAGAACAAACTGGTGGACAGTCCCATAGACAAAAGCTGCCTCCATCACAGCTCTGTGCTCTGGAAAGAAAAAGGCAAGACCAATTCATCTCAGCTCCCTCCAGATCTCTCTCTTCACCTTTCCCCGTTGTAAACGTCAAGGCTCAGGCTTTCAGAAACTCTCAGTCAAAAGTCACAGCTGCCTGAAGACACAGTTGCTGGTCCCCAGCAAACACACAGGCGGTGTAAGCGAACCCATGCCACTGCATAACCAGACACCTGCCAATGGGTTTATTGATTTATTAAGACAGCAACCGCTGGCTTGCTTTCCCTCTCAAGTCCATCTCTGAAAGTTTGTGTGCTCCCAGCAAAACTTTTTCTGGTGCAACTGATCCCTTTGGAAACACAGCAAGACAAAGAGAGGCGGAGAACTTGTGTCTAGGTGGCCCTTTCAGGTTGCCTTGATCCTCCACTGGCGGGATTTTGGGTCAGAAACCCAGCTCCCTTCCACCTTAGTAAAAAAGGCTCTGGGAGGAGAGTAAAGATGAAAAGCTGAGTGTTAATACCTGCTGTCCCAGTAGCTGGTACGTAGGCAAAGACCATGTTCGACCTCCCTTTCAATGTGTTTTCAATGTTCTGAAGGTCTGCCAGTGTTTCAACGTACTTAACTTCATTGAAGAGCAGGGCACTGAGGAGTCAGAAAAAACTCATTAGCAACTGCTTTCTTTCAAGAGTAAATTTGCAGCCACATAACTGTGATGGGAAAAACAAGGTAAAATTCCGGCTTCCTGCTGGCAGCTTGAAGATTTACAGCCAAATACAACTGCCCAGATGTGTGCTGGACATAGATTTAACAGGGTCACACCATACCGAAGAGAGAAGCAGCCTTCTGCTTGGCTGAGATCAGGCTCTGGAATATGTGGGGTCTGTATTTATGCAACACTTGATATCAACAAGTGAGAATGGAAAGTAAATGATTTCACGGAGATGAATCTGGTCTGTACTTACAACAAAACGTTAGCAACAATGGAATTCACGTCAAACAAGGCATCGGTGGGGAACTCTCTGATCAGCATGTTACCTCTGGGGAGGGAAGAAAGAGCATCACCAAAGAAACTATGAAAGATTAGCTACACGTACTAAATTAATTTTCACTCTGCTGAATACTTCCAGATATCTGCTGGCACGTATGGCTGGCAAGAAAACGTCAGGATTGAATTTGGGGATTTCGTAGGACCAAGTGCCCAGGCAACGCTGTTTTAGCGAAGCCACCTCTGTCACTGCCATTTCATTCAGCTGCTGGGGACTGTTGCTGAGAAGCCTAGCACAGACTGACAGAAGGTCTTTGTATACCAAGCATCACCCTGCGGACCCTCGCAGCCAGAGGAAATGTTTCTGTGGGTCATGTACAACTGTCGATAAGGACGGAGCTGATACATGGAGAAGCTTCCAGCTCTCCCATGGACAGACCAAGAGCTAAACCTTCTCATCCAGGCCAGATGAGCTAACCACACCAACAGGGAGAGCACCAAAGAGCGTTTCTTTCTAGGACTAGATCCAAAACCAAAATTGAGTGTAACTCTAGGGGACCTGGTGGTGGGAGGCTGCAGGGACTGAAGAACCCTGATTTCCCTCATGGTTTCGTGTAGCAGCACAGCCCTCTGCTGCTCAGAGGAGCATGGGGTGGGATGGGAGGTTTCACACTGAGGACAAAGCATCTACTTCACGTGTGTTCGACTTTTTGGGGGTACTTTTTGCTAAACTCTGTCTGTCACTGCTGTCCTCGTGGCTCCTCTCTCCCTCTGCAGACATCTCTCTGATCGCTGACAGCATTTCCTCCAAATATTTGCACTGGAAAGCAATCACAGTGTACTGTGTTTTGGAAAAGCATCCTGCTTTATCCATTAATTGCACAATAGCCAAACTGAGCTTAAACTCGAATAGCTGCACAGTTACTTTATAACTTTATATAAATCAAACTACACGGTAAGCTGTAGAACGGTATGCTCATCACACACGGCCGCTTTGAGGCCCTGCAGAGAACCTGCCTCCCAGGGACCCAGTGCAGTCTGAGGAAATCTCTTCAGGAGGTTTAAGGACAGCACGCAACAGCAAAATAGAAAATTAACTTGTGATTTAGAGATGGCTTACATGTGCGTTTTTAAAGGTTTATATGTCCCTCATCGAGGAAAGATTTCCCTGCCATACTGGTCGTCTTTTAAATAACTCTTGAAAGCTGAGCTTTCTGGGCAGAAAAAGGTTTCAGCGTTGAAATGGAGAAATGGAGCGTTGACGTTTTCTCGTGCCCAGAAAATCCCTCTTACCTGAACAGGTAGGCTTTCCTTAATGCATTTTCTTTTCCACAGTATCTTGAGACATCCTCTTTGGGACAATTAACCTAGACATTGAAAGCATGTAATTACACATTCAGCTCCACAAATGACTACAAACATAGAGCACCACAGCTTTCTTCCATTCAAGGGGGTAAATACAGCCTTTCCGAACCTGCTGGGAGAGAAAAGACAATAAAATGGAGTCCAGAGCTGGGGACTGGAGTTTGTACTTCAGCTCTCCAGCTCAGCCTGCCTTGAATTGGGTCAGACGGGATCAAGAGATCTTATGATCCACCCAGCATATTCAAAGTGACAGATCAATGCTTGCTTATTAAATTCAGCCTGTATCTGGAGGAAATGAAATACATACACACACATATATAAGCACTTCTTACAATCTAATTACACTTGCCTGAATTTGTAACTCCCTCACCTAAATCTGGATAAAGTTTCAGCTAAAAACCCCTTTATATGAAATATTCATTGCGCTAAATTGAAAAGAAGTGAGCCGACCCCATCCATCATTCTTGGCAGTTTGAGCTGGCAGGAGGGAGCCGTGGAGGGAGTCGGGCAAGTCCCACCGCCTGAGCGAGCGGAGCGGGCTGATGCCCTCCTGTGCAGCACCCTGGGGATCGCACCCTTCCCCGTGCCATGCCCGTGGGTGCACAGCAATGACCGGGCAACGCCACGCACCCCACACAGGAGGTGCTTAGATCAGCCAGCCAAGCCTGGTACACGGAGTTTCCCATGAAAAAGACCTATCTGTGGGAAAAACGTGAGTAGCTGAATGTTCCCTCACCCCATGAATGCAAATCAAAGCGCACGGGTTCGTTTACTGAGACCGAGCTGGGAGGCCAGGAGCAGCTCAGGGCTGCCCCTGCCAGTCCTCAGCACTGCCAGTCCTCTGCTTCGCTCTCTGTGTTTGGAAGCACAACATCGAACCTTTCTGGGACACAGGAACCTGTCCGTGTCCCACGGACAGAAGGTGTGACACAACCCACAAGCAGTAGATGGGATAAAACGGGATGCCCTGGTCTGCCAAGACCTGCTTTCTCGTGGGGTCCCACTGCTGTCAGCCCCCAGGGTGGGTTAAGAGAAGCTCTGTCCACATGCAAGACCTGCAGAAATAGCCTGTCCCGCTCCTTATCCCCATGTACCTTCACCACCGAAACGCCATAGTCCTGGAGGGCCTCGGCCGAGTGCTCAATCTGCTCCAAGAAGGGCTGGGCACCGGGAGAAACTGAAATAAAAAAAAAAAATCCCTGGTTTCCATCCCTGCCCCTTACGGATGAGGCAGATGAGAGCACCTTCAGGGCAAGCTCTGTCTGTGCTCTGGCATGGTAACAGCGTGCTAAGGTCCCCAGGCAAACATCCCCGGGACATGCGAGCAGACATGAGCAGGGCAAAGAGGGAGCCGTGGTGTGCTGCTGGCAGAGGGGCTGGGAGCTGGCTGGGGAGGGCAGAGGGACTGGGACTGGTTTTGTCAGACGGGTGCTGCTGGGCTGGGCTGCAGGTCCTCAGGGTCAAGAGCATCCTCCTGCCACACACCGAGCCAGTGCTTGACACCGTATGGTCTTGCTTTTACCCAGAGTAAGGTATTTACTGAAACAAAACTAACTATGGGCAACAATAAGTAAGTTTGCAGATGACACCAAGTTGGGTGGAAGTGTTGATCTGCTGGAGGATAGGAAGGCCCTGCAGAGGGACCTGGACAGGCTGGGTCGATGGGCCGGAGCCAACTGCGTGAGATTCAACCAGGCTCAGCACCGGGTCCTGCACTTGGGTCACAACAACCCCATGCAAGGCTACAGGCGTGGGGAGGAGTGGCTGGAGAGCTGTCTGGCGGGAAAGGACTTGGGGGTGTTGGTTGACAGCCGCCTGAACATGAGCCAGCAGTGTGCTCAG